GCTGCTTTCTCGGAAACCTGAAGGTAGAAGACTGACGGATAAAGTCTTGTATCTTTCCAGAATTCCAAAAATTCCACCAGGGCAGTTGCAGAATTTTCCCAAATCCACCTGCCCTCTAATCGTAATCTGGATAATTTTGTCGGTGCAGAATCTTTCAGCACCTCGAATACCCTTCTTGCTTCATACTCTATGCAGCTATGTATCGACAGAATTTCCAAATCTCTGCACGAAATCAATATCTCTTTGACGTAATTTAGGTTGAGTGTCATGCACCACAGGGTGAGAACTCGAAGTTTTCGGCAATTACTGGTCAATATTCGATTAAACTCTAATCTAGGCTCGGTAATTGGAGGGCGTTCACCATATATTACCAATTCTTCCAGGCATCCATCTATCTTTTCGATGAATCCCTCGAGTATGTGCAATCTGGGAAACCCTTTTCCTGCTCGAAGAACTCTGAGATTTGGAAATGAAATTGACTCCAGGTCATCAAAAATATTGATAACTCTATCGTGCTCAAAATGTAGATCCAGTATCCGTATGTTGATACACGGTGATATAATGCTCAGAGGAATACACGGCGTTTCTCCTTTGAGTAACAGGTGATGCACTGAATTTGCTTGCTTAGCCACAGACTGCGCAAGATTAAATCCCGAATAAAACCTGCTTCCGATGACACCTACAAGTTCCACTTTTTTCAAATTTCTCTGACATTCGATCAAAACAGCTAGTCCCAGATTATCAAATTCCTCGTGACACTCCACAGATATATGTTCGAGGTTTCTGCAGATTTGTGCTAAACGACAAAAAATCTCGGAGGATATTTTGGAATCACACTGCAGTTCACGCAGTCCCATCAAACATTTATCGGCCCCAAGAAAATAAGGAAATGTTACCTTGAGGTTACGAAGATCAAGGAACTTGAAATTCACGCATTGACTCATGAACATCTTGAAAAATTCTTGTAGTATTAGCTGTATGCAATATGTATCCCTCGAGCTTACTTGATGCTTTAATTTGTCATCTCGGCTATCTGACTGATTCGGCATCTCTTCATTGCCCGATTTGTATAGTGTGACTCCCAAGTGCAATATGTTTTTGAATGAAAGAGATTGAATATATCTGACGTAGTGGAATAGCAGAGGCCTTCGTGACGTGAATGATGAGACGTCGATGTTATTGTTTAACAGGATATTTTTCGAAGTTTCCGGTAGGCATGTGACCAATATTTTCAGAATTGACCTCGATTTTTTCCTGGTCATCCAATGATTTGTGTATATCCCAATTTCTCCATAAAAATTCTACCACATTCTCACACCAAACCCTGTTGACAAATAGGCACGAATATAGTGAACTGGTATCATCTTGTAAGACCTTAAATATTTCTCTGAGGCAATCGGCCGGAAGTAATTCCATATCCTTTTGTCATATTAGAGTTGTTAATGAGAAATGAAGTTCTTGTTGATTTCGTTCAATCAATAATTGGAATAAGTGTTTTTATCGGTTAATACCAATATGCTCGTATGTGGCAAAGATTCCGCGAATTTTCTTTTTTGACGATCTTTTTCACATGAAAATCAATTAACATAACAAACATGAGAGTTTTTACCTTGGAGCCCGGATTATCGACTAAGTTTCATTAACTTAATATCGATGGATCCAATGATATCACTCGATAATCTATCTAAAGTCTCTTCGTTTTTCTCCAAATTTTTTTCAGATAGAAGTGGAGAAGATACGATGATTCAATGCAAACCCAAATTGATATTTGATATTTAGACGCGTTCCCAGGGTTCCGCTATCGACCGATGATCAAAATGTGTCCAGAAAATTCAAAGTAACAAAGAAAATTTCCTAAGCTTCATTCAAGTTCGAGACTCCAGGGGCTTTTTTTTTATAGAAAAGATTTTTTTAATTCTCATTGGCTGCAAACCGTGTCTAATTAATCCTGTGATACGATACGCAGCATGACCCACACAGAAG